CCATCTATAGTAGCGAGGGCAATGTTGTCAAACATGCTAAATTTTTTTGTGCCGAGCCGAGGGCTTTGTTTCGCTCTTGATATATTCCCTTGCTTGCGATGCAATTTGGTTTCTTAAAATGGCTCACTCCAAAGGTATTGATTCGATGGGAAAATAGCTTGCTTGAAATTCAAGCCATTCTTGTCAAAGCGTAGCCAATTGTACAGAACAAAAAAGAGCCGCATCTTGAAAAAAACCTGACCTGGTTGGAAAAAAAAAAAAAATCAAAATACAATATTGAATCTCTTCCGAGAGCCTCAATGGGTGTCTCGGTCCCTGTGGCAAGAGGACAAATTACAGTGAAAAGCCCTGCTCTTGTCTCGGAGTAATTGTTGGCAGATAGGAAATGAAGGGTGGACACCTGATGACAGTCGAAGATGTGATGGATCAAGAAAAAAAAAAAAAGGTCAAGAAGGAAAAGAGACAAGTGTATGTTACCATCCTTGGAAGAGCAGCAGTAATTGATTTAGACTGACAATTACCTTGACTCACAGTTGCACTCCATATAATGTTGGCAGTTTATATATATATACCTGCCGCCTGGAGGGCCTCCGGGTGAGGCCGCAGACGCGGTCACCTGCTGAATCCCCGCAGAAAAAAAACGCAACATTTCTTAAGGTTAAAATAATCTCCATATTTTTATGAGCATGATAAATGCATTTGCACAACAAAATTACGCTGAAACACATAATAAGAGGCCAGACAAAGAGAGATCTTGATGCGCATTTGCGTAATTACGAGGAGAAATACTGCAGCCCACGAGGCATTAAATAGAATAATGCAAATCATACAAATGGGAAAAGATATATGAAATTATTTCTATAGTCAGCCGCTTAAAAATGATCATCGTTGGCAGCTTTAGGCCCGATGCTGCGCGGCTCAAAACACAGGTAAAATGTGTTCTCTCGTAGCCGCTTGTTTTCAGTATGACGGGGGAGTCACCTTTTTTATTTACAGTCCGAGTGAGGGGCAAATCAAATGTCAGAGGGTTTTCGTCCATATTTATTATTTCATCTGGGCTGATGGAATTCTCCGCTATCTTTGTTTGTGTGAATGTGCGGAACGAAGCAAGTTTGTCCTCGTAATTGGGAGGGAGCTGCTGTCACAACGTCGTGCGTGCCCTAATAGACATGCTTCCATTTCATGAATCTATAACACCACGACGGTCCACCTTTAAAACCTTTAAAAGCTTTGGTTGTCTTTTTACACTGGCTCAGTTCTTCTTGCCGGAGCCTCCACCTTCGCACCATCGACTCGTCTATGCCAAGATTAGGCCAAACAAAAAAGATAGTGTGTTTCCAGGAACAAGAAATTTCAGCATAGGGTCATAGGTCGGACAAAGTTTTTTTTTTTTTTTTTTAAATCTATTTTTTTTTCCCATCAAAAATTTAAACAAAATACAGGCGCTCCCCGATTTACGAACATTCATGTTACGAACAACGGTACATACGAACATTTTTGCGGGTACAGGTATGTCGAAAAATGTTCTCGGACAGAGATGCTGTAAGTTAGATTTTGTATTACGCGCCTTTTTCCGAGTACTGTAGTACTTCTTTCCGCCACTAATACCGACGTGAGGCGCTGTGAGAGGAGGAGGAGGA